GCTCTATTTAAGCTGCCAGGTCTTCCTGCCTCTGCCTCGCTATGCTGCTGCTGCACTGCTATGTTCACTCGCTATTGCTACGTTCATGTTCCTGCTGCTGTGTTTCATGTTGCTGCTGCTCGCCTGCCCCCCACCACCCCAGCTTCCACCCCAGCTCCACCTGTAGGCCTCCGGGGATGTTAATCTAATCATCACTAAATGTTCCCCCCCCCTCTTTGTAAAGTCTGTGGAGTGATGAGGCCCGAGCCTAGACCCTAAACTCAAACTATATGCTGCTTATAATAAACATATTAAGAAACACTTGAGTTGTCTGACTGAAATATACTAAAATTCAAAAGTTATAACTCCAAATGTACATCTTCTAAGAAAAGAAAAGGAAATCTGTGAGAAAGGTATCGAGCAAATCCTTGTCTCATAGTCTAAATCATTATTTCAATGTCCTTCTCTGCCATTGTAAAATGGAAAAAAAATATTGATATTAAGTGGACTGAATTCTAGACAACTGCAAATATAAATCCAAGTTTATCTCCATTCTTGGAGAGAATGATCAGCGCAGTACTTGCCTGTAGTAGAGGCCGCTTGAGTTTGCCAGGCTCTCGTCCATCGCGCAGTGGAGGGTGGTCTGAGCTCCTTCCCAGGGACTTTTGACAAAGGTCATAACTGCTGCAGCAACGATCCTCTTCCACATGGCTAAAGTAGGGAAAAGGTGACGGCCTAGTTCGGTGCGGATGACCCCAGGGTGAAGACTGTACACCGTCACTCCAGTGTCTGATGGGAGGGATGCATCGAATCAAAGGTTAGTTGCATGAAGCACTATAAGACTATTCAGGAAATTAAAGGGGCAACCGTAGGCAACTAAAGCAAAACAACAAATATTTTACTACATATTTATTTAAAAAAGTGGGACAGTTTCTGATGAATAACATGCATTACAGATTTTTGAAAAACACCTTATTACCCTACCTTTCAGTCTAGAAGCTAGTTCTTTACTGAAGAGCACGTTGGCTAGCTTGCTTTGGCGGTAGCTGGTATAAGGATCATAGTCTTTATCCAGATTGATGTCTTCAAAATGTATGCGGCCTGTAAGAAACAACAACGCGTGGTCTTTAATTAGAAAATACATTTTGAAATTCCAAAACAATCATGTACGTTTAATTTATCACAACAAACCAAAGTATAATATGAATCTGAGTGAATACAAATGTCAGAGAGAAAATTGTAACCACTATTTGATACAAATTGATGGAAACATAGACTTGACCTTTCTCGTGTGCCATGCTGGAGACGTTGACGATGCGACTTGGAGTAGATTTCTTCAGCAGGTCCAGAAGAGTGTTGGTGAGGAGGAAATGTCCCAGGTGGTTGACACCGAACTGCATTTCAAAGCCGTCCTGAGTCTCCCACTTAGGACAGAACATGATACCTAGAAATCAAATAAAACCCTTAAATAAGAAACTGCTGATGTCAATCCGTCTTAATTGGTAATACTCTGAATCATGATCAAGTACGTTTTAAATGCTAGTATTCGTGTGTGGTGTTAAATGCGGATGGTGTTTTTTACTTTAATTTGAACATCTCAGCTTAGTTTTGATTATTTCTGATTGTTGGCATGCATTGCTTTTATTTAATTAGCACAACAACATAAGAAACCATTACAAAGTCAAATGTTCTACAAAGTGGTTGTAAACAGCTTGTCTGTAAAGTTAAAAATCACCCAAATGAATTCCATGCTGAGAAGGAAGGCATATCTAAATGCATATCTAAGAAACTGAATGTCACAGTGACTTCGAAAGAGAGAAAGTGAATAGTGTCTTTCCACACTCTTAGTTGAATACGATTACTTGGAACAGTGGGAACTTTTATGACATGATTATAGTCAACCAGTTCATAAAGTCTACTTTTCTTTTCACCAGTCGCTCTTGCAGACTAGCTTGATGACATTCTTCGATGACAGTGGCCTGCATAAGAAAACAGTCTCTGCCATGGCACTGTTGAAGAGGTATTTGTGTGCAATATGGGCCATGGTAGTGGACATGCCTCTATGCTGACACTAGGCTCTGCCCAATACCTGTCTAGATATAGCATTCTAAAATATCAATTGTAAGTATTTGATTTAATAAAAGACAGCATAAATCGGAAATGGCTTCAGTTGTGATCTCTAGCAGTGAGGTGATATTTAAAAGTGCTCCGAAATATGCCCGTAGGTTTATAAAATATATCCGTTTTTTCCTATAAATGTGTGGTGCTTTTTTTGATTACTTCATTATCGCTCCTGTGGTAAAAATGTAAGGGAGAACGCCTGCAAAGCACCTGCATTGTTGATGAGGATGTCCAAACGTTCCTCATTCTCCTGGACTTCTTTGGCCAGGTCCCTGACAGACTGGAGCGAGGCCAGGTCCAGTTTCTTCACCACCACGTTGCCGTTTCCACTCAGCTGGCGGATCTCATCAGCTGCAATGCGGGCTTTAGTCATGTCTCTGCAGGCCATTATCACTTTGGCTCCTTGATAAAGAAAAGAGGAAGTATTATTGAATAAGTAGTCAAGGAAGCAGTCAATTTAGTTGAATCCAAAGACACTGTTAACATAATAGTGCCGCACAAAAAACAACAAATAATATTTACAGAAAATGAACGCTCACCCCGATTGGCCATATCCAGGGCCGTCTCCTTCCCAATGCCACAGTTGGCTCCTGTGATGAGGACTGTTTTCCCGTCCAGCCTGACCCTGCTCCGACACACTCCCCCAGACATCCATCTCCGCAAGGCCAGTGCGCTCACCCCTGACAGAAGAACAAATAATAACATTAATATCAAATGCAGTGTAATATGCCTGGTTTTGGTAGTTATTTTTCTTATTTACCCCAATGTTCAATGAATCTGAATCAGAATCAGAAACAGGTTTATTACCAGGTAGGTTCACACATACCAGGAATTTGACATTTTAAAAAAAAGAACACAGATAGCGAACTATATTAAGAACACTGTAATACAAATACAGTAAGATTACAATCAAATAAAACAGTAATTTACATTGAAATAGAATGCGTTTATTTATACAGTTTTCTTGGTCCTTGAATATGAGATATGACAAACTGTTGGTAAAACAAATATTCTTACAAGAGTCGCATTGAACCCCTGCTTTCGAATTTCAGCTATGGCTTTAGATTCAAGGAGATTATAATATTAGGAGCTTAATTTCACTGTGCATTTACGACAATACTCTAAATACTTACTATTTCATACTTAACAATGCTCAATCAATTGGCTACCCCACTGGCATTGATTTCAAGATATTAACAAAGAGAGCTGCATTCACATGAATACATGTGTCATAGTGAACAACATGTCAAACTTCTCTGACAATCATATTTCTGCCTGATAATGTACCATTATATTCCAACCCGCTGCATTCTTAGTAGGAGAGTTAGCTTTCTTTGCACTGACATGATAGAAAACGTAGAAAGGTACACACACAGAATACACAATATCCTTGAGAGAAGAGAAACATTTACCTGCAACTAAAGCAACAGCGAGACCGGTTGCATGCTTCTCCACAAAGTCCCTCATATTATCTGCGTAGTGTTGCATATTTGATCCTGTTAATTGTTATTACCAAACTACAAGCTTTAGTAGAAAGAAGTAAAAGTAATGTCCGCTCAGAATATCACTGAGCAGTTTATAGGATGAAAGTCAATGCTATAAAAAACAAACACTGTTTCGCCTTCCTTGGTGTAGCAAAGACGATTTTGATTGGGCGTGGTGCAAGAGCTGGGATTTTCAGAATAAAAGACTCTTCCCTAATGTCATGACCATAGACTGTATATATAAAGGTCATGACACATGTTGTGTTGCACTACAATCTGCTGCTGTTTGGCTTTTATCTACAATTAAAAGATTACATTTGCACTTGTGGTAATGACTTGCTAATGTCGGGCGTGTTTTGATCATCTTTCCCAGGCTCAATGAAAGCAGAGCAGCCGATCTGTGTAGCTTTCACACACCCTACACACACCCACCTGCACATTGTAGCTCGCTGACTCATCTTCTGCTGTGTCATATAAACAAACCGAAGTTCAGTGTTTCCCTAAATGCAACACCAGTAGTTTTTTTAATCTGATTAAATAAAGGCATACTTTTGAATTGTTATTCTTAATTTGGTCAGAAATCACATTTGACAAAACAACATTAGTAAAAGGTAACTAAGTACATTTAATCAACTACTGCATGTGCCTACAATGTTAAGGTAGTATTTGACTTATTAGGTATTTTTCATAAATGCCATTTTCTTAATGTCTTTCATTTTTTAAAGCACTTTAAATTGCCCTTTGTTGAAAGGTGCTATATAAATAAACTTGCCTTACCTTACTTTTACACTACTGATTCAAATATTTTATTTCCTACTTTACTACAATTATTGAATTGCTCTATTCTTAATACTTTTCCAAATTAACATTTCAAGTCATTCAATGATTTAAACCAACAACATGTTTAAGTTCAAATGTGCTCCAACTGCAGGTAACATGTCAATGCACCAACAACAAGGGTCCAATGATATGAAATACTGCATTACCATTGACTTGCCTTAATCCTTTTCAAAACATGTTTACACGTACATCTTCCTCAACTTAACTTGAATATATTTTTGAATGCAGGGACCTATCTTTACATTTCATGAATATTGCTTCTACCATTTAAAATACAGAACTCCTAAACCAGACTTGTGTTTTTGTTTTGTATAATAACAGATAATGTGTGGGTTAACAAGTATAGTTAGTTTAAAATATGGGGCTTTTATTTTGAAATCTTAACTCCATGGATGTTTGTGCTTCGTGTAATTATTGGCTAAGATCTAAATGTAGATGCTTTGCAATAATTTTGTTTTTTAACTTGTTTGTGTCACATTTAGATGTATATGGTGTCTTGTTAACGATATTATCGTACGTGTGATAACTGTAGCAACATTTCTACCCAAAAATAAACAAACGTGCCCCGGAAGTACTTTTTCCTGCTGCCACGTCAGAGCTGTGAAACTCTTCTTCAGTGCTGCTCCTGTCTGTGCTGCTTCTGGTTGCTCTCATCATGGTTTACCTGGGACTCAGCTGTTTTCTGCTGCATGTGTTCGTGGTGTTTGGGACGGAGCTCACTTTCGAGCTCCCTGACAACGATAAGCAATGTTTCTACGAGGAACTAGAGAAAGACGTGAAGTTCGATATAGACTTCCAAGTGAGTTACTCCGAAAGCTTAATCACTTCCGTCTAGGATGTGTTTACATGATGCTGCCAAAGTGGTTCCAAAGATAGTCATTTGGTCCGGTGTCTGTCTCTTGTTCTTGGAAAGAGAGCATGCATAGTGTTGCATAGTGCTGACATGCCTTCCTATACTTATAGTTTCATATTAGCACTCTCAATGTAGGCCTACATAATATCCTACTTTTAAATTGTGTTAGCAGTAATCTGGCCCTTCTTAGTGTTTATTTGTCAGATAATCTTTCAGGGTGAACTTGTATTTAACTTTTTAGTTCAGTTTATTTTCTATTTTGAGATGTTTCTATTTTACATGTGGTTTATATTCTTCTTTTTATTTTCAATGTATGTGCTATGCCTTGTTTTAACATGCTGTTGTAACGAATACATTTCCCAGTTTGGGATCAAAAAATTAAATCTTATTTTATAACACTTACATTTTTTAAATAATGTTTTGGTAAAGGTTTGTTTTCTTACTCTCCTAAAGTGTTTCCTGCATAACCAGTTTGAGCCGGCTCAGCATTGCTCAGTCCATATGTTACTACTGTTTCACACATGTGTCTCTTGTGCCTTTTAATGTTCGTTTAGGTCATTGCAGGAGGCAACTATGATGTGGACAGCTTTGTCACGGATCCTCAGAACAATGTCCTGTACAATGAGCAGAAGAAGCAGTATGACAGCTTCTCTCACACCACTGCTATGAAGGGAGTCTACAAGGTCTGCTTCAGCAATGAGTTCTCCACCTTTACGGATAAAACCGTGTACCTGGACTTCCGCCATGGAGACGAGGAACCTATCATTCAGACCATGACTGGACCTGTAGCACTGACTCAGGTAATTTTAATTTGGTACTACAGTTCGCTTCAGGATTTGGTGTTTACATCTGTTAGCTGCAGTGGAAATACTTTATAGAGCCACACAGACTGATACTTACAGTAGTTGAACCAGTGTGTGAGAAAATAGATTCTTAAAATTGTTCAGAGAACCACAAAATGACATAGTTTCTGTCTTTGCACATAGGAGGCTAGGGCTAGGGATTTGTTATTACCCTGCAGCATTGCTGAGAAATCTGCTTTTTATTTTTTCCTCCATTTTGAAACGGTTGCAGGTACACCCTGATGGGCAGTCAAACAGAAAACGTACAAAAAGACCAAACAGAAAACTACAATCCATATGTTCACATTACAGATATAATCTAGATTAAATATATATAAGAACTTTGATAAACAGAACTTTTTGCTTTACATGGATTAAGAACAGGCCGTTCAGGCGCCATCAAAAATGTCTCAAACACACCCAATAAAAATATACAGCAGTTCAACAATAGCAGCAGTAATACAAAAAAAAGAAAGTACCGGTAAAACAAATAATGCATGGATGTCGAGTAAAACAGAGTGGTGTCCTCATTAGTTAAAAGCTTTAATAAAAAGGTGAGTTTTAAGAAGTGATTTAAAAGATGTCACTGATTCCTTTGGGAACAGCTAGCGGAGCCCTTCCCGAGGATCTCAGACACAGGCTCGTAAGGGCACAACAAGTCAGTGATGTATCAGGAGCCAAACCGTTAAGAGCTTTAAAAGTAATCAGTCAAATCTTAAAATCAATTCTAAAACAGACAGGTAGTCAGTGAAGAGAGATTAAAACAGGGGTGATGTGGTCTAGCCTTCTGGTATTTGTTAAAAGTCTTGCTGCTGCATTTTGCATAAATTGAAGGCGAGATTAAAAAGACACTTATTTGCCAATTGTGTTGTGTTGATTACGTTAGTCTACATTGATAGTATTTAAGTTGGGTTGGGACAGTTAATGTAAAGATTCAACGATTTATTGTCATATGCACAGTAGCTACAGTGTAGTTATGGCAATGAAAAGCTTAAGTCCCAAGCTCCTTCAGCAATGCAACATAAATATATATAACATATAAACAAAAAAAAGTAATGCAAAAAGAACAGAAATAAAATAGAAATATTGCAAGTGACAAATGTGCAGGTAGATGCGTAAGAAGTAAACTATATAAATAATAAGATGAGCTTAAAACATAATGTTAAATGAAATACTGTACAAGGATAAAAACTGTGTATTGTAGTAGAACATAAATATGTTTAATGCAAACAGTGGAAAGTTCACTAGGTGGAGCTAGAGCAGTTCTGACTACAGATAAGATTCAACTTGTTGTATCCTGAGGGAAATGACTGTAGGAGAAATTGGGAAAGAGTGCAAATATAAAAGTCTAACATAACAAGCATCACCGTGTACTGCAAATATTGTATTAACCATTGCACAATATTATTCGCGAGTGTTTAATTCCCTCTCCTTACCACAGTACCTGAAACGCCCTGCTGTGTTAATGTTTATAACATCGACTGTATATAAAGGTTGATTTCCAATTTTACACAAACTGGATTAAGTCATCTTTGCCATTTACATGAATATTGAAACATTTTCTATTAAAATATATCGACCACAATTAATACTCAGATCTTCCATATGAGCCCACATTCTTAGTTTAATGGTTATAGGAAAGTGTAATATATATGTTCCACTTTTACTTAATTTAAATCCGGAGACTTGCAGGAAAATAGGTCAAAGTAAATGTGTTCAGCAGCAGTTTTGATAATATAATATGATTACATGTTTGCATACGTGTGACCCACCTTGTACTGTATGTTCTGCCCCGGGCCGTTCCTGTACTTCTGATGAATTCTCTGTTGCCCTTTCCACTTTCAGATGGAGTCGTCCTGCGTGTCTATTCATGAGATCCTGAAGGTGGTGGCTGACTCGCAGACGTGGTACAGGCTAAGAGAAGCACACGACCGCACGAAAGCTGAGCACCTCCTGGAGCGGGTCACCTACTGGTCCATCGGAGAAACCGTCCTGCTGTTCGTTATCGGCATCGGTCAAGTCATGATGCTTAGGAGCTTCTTCAGCGAGAAGAAAGGCTCAGTGGCGGCCACAACTTAAAACTCTTTTCTCCTGATGTGCCCTGAGAAACACGGGTGGAACCTCTTCGATGTGAACCTGAATGCTTCATGAGATTAGCACACATCTTGTGGTATTTCCAGCAAACCTTTTTGTTAAATAGATAGTTTGGGAAGTCTTTATTTGTTATTTGTTAGCCTGCCTACTAAATGCCTCTGTCATGTCTGTGTGAAGAAACAGCACTCACACATGAAGCAGATTACCTCCTCCTCCAAGAAGTTGATGTTTACAGTTTATAACTTTGTCAGCAGGTTTATAGGAGAACTTGCTCCATTTTTCCTTACATTTGGGGAGAAGTTGTGCCAAGGAAATACACATTTAATTTTCCAGCTGATCTGATGTACACATTATTTTACACTCACGTAAACAGCCTTGATGGAGGTCGGCTCTCTCTGAGTGCCCTTCTAGTTTATTATATTTGCATGATGCAAAATAAAGCAAATAAGTTTGATTAATCTGTCAATGAACTGGATTGCTTTTACAGTAGGACCCTCATGGGGGGCGTCATCAGAATATCTAGTAGGTTGTGGCACATTGGTTATTTCTGAATGTTAGTTGTTCTCGTTTTCTAATGTTGATTATGTTTGTTATTAACTTAATTTATGTGCAAAAGAATTGTTTTAATGAGGTGTAAGAGCTCTTTTCTCCCTCATGTCCTTCTGTGTCTCATACAAAAGTGCCTTTTTAAAAAATCTTTCTTTTCTCATTTCCTACCAAATTTAAAGTTTACTGTTTTAAATGACTCGATTTATGGTTGCGTCTTCTTGTTACTGATTGATTGGATTCTCAGTTACTTATTTTATTACATGTGGGTGTGATTATAAGTCCATCTTTTTTCTTAAAGATACTGTTGGACATTGCGAAGTGACCAATCAGTAAGGCTTTCACTGCAGTTCTGTGTTTATCTCTTTATTGTCCAAACAACATGTCAACAGCTTTGAATAAAACCTGGTGGAAAGTATGTCACAATATTGTCTGATTATGATTTGCATGTACACCCTATCCTGAATGTCTATTGAGATGCCACAAATCTCAGATGCAGCTTGGTTTTTAGTTTTTTTCAAAAATCTTCTCAAGAAACCAGAAATGATTCAAGCTTTCTGGCTGACTTAGACCCTTAGTAGAATCGTTTACCTTTTCATATCAACAACAATACTATAGTGAAAGTTTAAAAAGTATGACTTATATTTAATGGGGTATATTCTCTGTATTTCTAGTCTAGACTGAGGTATTGTAAAACAGCTCAGCCCTTCCACCACTGACAGTTTGGATAAAAGCTAGCTAAAACGCCACCTGGACATGCTGCTGCAGGAAATAAGGAAGAGGAACCTGAACTTGAATCAGACTCCTGGCCAATCAGAGTGTGAAGCATGCTCTATCAAGCTGACGTGTTATCAAGCGCTGACGTCCGGGGTGTCCCTACTTTACCGGGCTCTGCTACCTGCGTGACGTTAATTCATAAGAAAAGAGGGCACAGGTGTCCCTAACAGCCCGGTAAACATGGCGGGTTACCTGAAAGCCCTGAGGACCGTATCCAGAAGTACAGCCGCTTCCCTGACTCTAAACCCCGCAGTACTCTCACCGGCTGTCGGCTGCCGTCACAGGCTCCAACAGAGGAACTGTAAGTCACCCTTTAAAAATTAAACTTTAACAATATGACTCGAAATGTATTACTAAAGTGGGCATGGTCAGCAACATTAATGTGGCTGGCTTTGTGAGTGGGTTTTATGAATGATTTTTAATAGTAGACGTCAGTAAAACGTCACATGCTGATTGGAAACTAGCCATCAGTGAATCACACATACACGCTTTTTGAAGGATCACATTTCTAAGCATCGCATTTAATTATTATATAAACTCAGAACAGAAAGTTTAAACAATATCTACAACCTTAAGCAAGATGTTAGTAAGGAACCAACATATGTGGTTATCATACTGAATACTGAATCAAATGTGTATGATGAAATGGATATGAATACAATACAAAGGGGATCTTATGAATTCTACAATAGAGGCTGGTACCAACCTGTCTTGGCACGTGAGTTCACATATCAGGAGCAAATAAGTCTACACAGGTAATACTGGTATTATAAATACTCCGAAAGTCACTGTCTCAGTAAGAATGAACCCTGCATAATTAAGTAGTGAAAAAGATATTAACCAAATGCAGGTGTGATCAGTTTGTCCTCAGTTTTGCCTTACCCAAAACAAATTGGCATCATCCCCCTGTGGCTTTAAACTACACTGTACAACATGAGAGTTAATGTAACTGTGATTGTTTTCAGATGCCACACAGCGCATCAAGGTGGAGCAGCCGGTGGTGGAGATGGACGGAGATGAGATGACTCGCATCATATGGGAATTCATCAAAGAAAGGGTAAATCCAGTCTGGAAGTTTGCTGATAATGATTTATACTTTCTTTGTGTCAAAAAGCTGTAAGTCGCTTTTACCTACGAGCAAACATGAGGATGTTTGAATTCAGAATCCAAAGGTTATGGTAATCAGAGGAGGACGAAGGTTAGGAATAATCTTTTAACAAGTAAACATCCCGCATTCCAAAATCCTACATGAGTGAAAGAACACTGTGCACTAGCTTGTGAACTTAAAGGGGACCTATCATGCAAAATGCACTTTAGTACGTCTGTTATACATGAATATGTGTCCCTGGTGTGTCAGGGAACTCACCAAGTGTCAGAAAACACAACCCTCTCTTTTCCTCCATACCCAAATCTCTAAAAACGGGCCTGCAACGGAGCTGATTATTATTTGAATTTTTCCGTCAGAAAAGGGGTGCTCCGCCTATATGGGCAACTCTCCACCTATCAGGGGAATGAGAGACCGCTCGAAAGCGCTGGAGACGCTGTAGTACATATGCCAGGCCTGTAAGTGGCGCTGTAGTCTGCCACAAAAGCAGAATCAGCCCTTGCAAAAACAGGGCTGGAAAAGAGCAAATAGAGCGAAATGAGGCATGGCTAAAATGCATGATCTGTTTAGTATTTTGAAAAAAAAAACTTCACAGACATTTTTTATATAGGTATGGCCCTACAATATATGTTTCAAATATAGCATGATAGGTCCACTTTAACTAAAGGATCAAGAACGTGTATAACCTAACCTATAACAATACACAGTATAATGTGTTATGGTTGTATTAATAATCTCATTGCAAATGAATTAAAGTTAAGTCAAAAGTACAATAAAGTTCCACTAGAATTTTGCTGGTTTAGAAGTATGAATATATGTATCAGAAAAAGGAAAGTAAAGTAAAAAATACCTCAACATTGAACTCAAGTATCCTACTTGGGTAAATACACTTATTCAGTGTGTGTTTGTGTGTATGCTGTGCAGTGTTGCCCTCTTATAAATAACACAGTAACATCTTGCACATGTGCAGCTGATCCTGCCCAACGTGGATGTTGAGCTGAAGTACTTCGACCTGGGTCTGCCCTACCGCGACCAGACAGACGACCAGGTCACCATCGACTCTGCTCTGGCAACTAAGAAATACAACGTGGCTGTCAAGTGTGCTACCATCACCCCCGACGAGGCTCGAGTTGAGGGTCAGTTTGACACAGTGTGTGATTATATGGTATCTGTGATGGAATACTGTGTTAAAGTGATACAACAAATCAGGCAGTCACTTAGAAAAGCCTTTGATGCGTTTGCTTTCGAAAAATGAGCTGTCCTGTTTTTTTTTTTTTTACTAACAAGATATCTCAAAATCCCGACCGAAGCTCTCATTTACTTGAGAGCTCGGTTCCAGGGAAGCACATATGTCCCTTCTGTTTTGAAACTATTTTCATCATTCTGATAATTATCTTTTTAATTCAGAAAAGCAGGGTAAACATTTTTCTCTCAAGGGGATGCAAAATGCTTCCTTTCAAGCCTTATGACATGTTTTGCTTCATATTTCTGCATTTTTTGAATGTTCAACCATGGCTGCATTAGTTATCAAATCTGTTGTATATTTGTGAGTGCGTTAATAAAAATACATGACGCTTTTTGGTTCTTCATGAGTAGGTATCCTTACTGTTTGGAGACTTGCTTTTGGTCTTCAGATGGAAAACGCTTATAATCCATATACAATGTTTTTCAGAGTTTAAGCTAAAGGAGATGTGGAAAAGTCCCAATGGAACGATCAGGAACATCCTGGATGGCACCGTTTTCCGGGAGCCAATTATTTGTAAAAACATCCCACGTCTTGTCCCCGGATGGACACAAGGCATAACAATCGGCAGACATGCTTTTGGCGATCAGGTAAGAAATGCAAAATGTGTGTTGTGTGCTCTCCAAAGATGCATCCAAACTGACAGAGGAATGATCCCACTGCTCTTGTTTGTTGTTAAATCTCACAGTACAGGGCCACAGACTTTGTTGTTGACCGGCCTGGCAAGTTCAAGATGGTGTTTGCCCCCGCCGATGGAAGCCAGCGGAGAGAGTGGGAGGTGTACGACTTCCCTGCAGGCGGCTGTGGGATGGGGATGTACAACACGGATGAGGTAAGAGTTTGTTCATACATGAATTCACATGAAATAAGATATATAATATTTACAGACAGTTAAAGCTAATCTGTTAGATATTTAATATTTCATTTGGGCTGTGCATTTGCTAACTTGTTTTTGTTTAAAGCGTGGACCTTATTATTGTTTTTTTGTGCACAGTCCATCAGTGGATTTGCTCACAGCTGCTTCCAGTATGCCATCCAGAAAAGGTGGCCTCTATACATGAGCACCAAGAACACCATCCTCAAGTTCTACGACGGGCGCTTCAAAGACATTTTCCAGGACATCTTTGAGAAGTAAGATACTGAACAGTAAGGAGGAGGACTTGAGGCACTGGATTGTTTTTGACGTTTTGGTCAACCCACTGGATTAAATAGCCTCTGTTGATGAGACAAATGTTTTTACTTTATTCTGTTTCTTTTAGGACATACAAGCCAGAGTTTGACAAGCTGAAGATCTGGTACGAGCACCGTCTGATCGACGACATGGTGGCGCAGGTCCTGAAGTCTGCTGGAGGATTCGTTTGGGCCTGCAAGAACTACGATGGAGACGTGCAGTCAGACATTCTGGCTCAGGGTAAGTGCACTTCCATTTGATGATTGGTCGACAGTTTCCCTGCTTGTTCACTTCAGGCCACACAGTCACAATGACACATTATTTACATCTGAGCTACGTCTTGTGTGCTTATATTCGTGGGTACAGATTACCTTGTGATGCCAGGTGTGTCTGTGTGTCTGTGTGTCTGTGTGTTGTGTCCAGGTTTTGGTTCTCTGGGTCTCATGACATCAGTGCTGGTTTGCCCTGACGGAAAGACTCTGGAGGCCGAGGCTGCCCATGGCACTGTCACCAGGCACTACCGGGAACACCAGAGGGTAAGAACCACCAGGCCACACTGCTGAGTGTTTTTTAAACTTTTGTATAAATCAAATGGTGAGCTAAGATCATGTCAATATGAATATTTCAGAACCAAATGACACCATACTATACTGCAGTTCACAGAGTCTTCAGTGTGGAACCTAATGAACACAGTGTTTAACAGTGAGTTTAGCTTGTTGTGCTATTTTCAGCAGAACTGCTATAAGTTTGAGAGCGGAATTGTTTTATAGGTATTCTTGTCATTAATAGTCAATTATAGTTACATTGCAAGTCCTTCATAGTACATCCTATTCTTTTATAGTAAAAGAGGCAGAGAAAGGAAAGTCTCCATCTGCAGTACAGTAGCATCAAAATACCTGAATGCAAAGCCTTGAAAATGATGTTTTCTGCAGAGACCCCTAACTGTGTCCTTGCTTTGTAGGGAAGGCCAACGAGTACTAACCCCATCGCGAGCATCTTTGCGTGGACCAGAGGACTGGAGCACAGAGGCAAACTGGACGGAAACACTGATCTAATAAAGTATGTCATATTTTTTAATTGTATTTACTCAAAATATGCTACTTTACTTCAAATGAATAAAATCCTCTGCATTGTTGCTCTCCAGGTTCTGCCACACGTTAGAACAGGTCTGTGTGGCTACTGTGGAGAAAGGCGTGATGACCAAAGACCTCGCCAGCTGCATTCATGGATTGGCAAAGTGAGTTTACCTTTGACATCCCTCTGTCATGCTAAACGTGGTGTTGTACGTCTGCTTTAAGAAAACCTTTTCTCTTGTTTTAACAATAATTGTATCATAATTGTAACTTCTGCACTGCTATCTTACAGCTGCAAGCTGAATGAACATTATGTCAACACATCGGACTTCCTGGATGCCATTAAGACCAACTTGGACAAAGCTCTGTGTAAATGAAGATTTGGGGGATTGGACCACTTCGTTTTGATCTCGTTTTAACCCTTAATTTGTCTTAATCATTGTATAAAGTTTTGAAGCGACTAAGTTTACTACCTTCCGTGACATTTTTGTTTTTGTAAAGCTGACTGACACACACTGTGCTCGTTCCTCTGCCACCTTACAGTTTTGTTTTGCAAGTAATTGTACTGTTTGAATTAATATTGATGTTAACTTATAACAGTCATGACAAACACATTTCAATATACAATCAAGGACAGTGATGCGATGTTTCGCTCAGCATGCAAATAAAAAGGATTGTGATAATCACTCTAACATGCAGTGTATGTTTTTGGTTCTCACCTTCAGTAGAAACACTGTTGGTTGTTTCTTGCTTACCTGAACAGAACAAACACAATATCCTTTTGGGTTTGGTTGGATTAAAGTTCATACTCCTCAGTACCAATAATAATCCTACCAACTGGACTACCGTCAGACCAAAGTATATGTGTCTTATCTCACACATGCTTTATTAGATTACTGCTATTTTTCACATTTTTTATATCATTGTTTTTCATTTCTGGTTTTATTTCAGAAATATTATACTAACGACTTTGGAGTCTACATTCAAAGGGGGAAATTATGGATTTTATGTTTGTCCTGGGTCAGCGTTTAAAGTGTCACACTGTCAGTGAGCACGAGCACTCAGATGCATATGTGGTAATCATTTGTGTTTGTATTATTTTTGAATATCACAGTAACTCATCTTTCTAAATTAACCGTTTTTTATATTCCTCAGATCTATGATGATCTCTAACCGATCTAAATAGGTTAACATTGTGTTTGCATGCTTTTTATTTACAGTAGGGTTCTCAGAGACAGAAATCATTAGCCCTTTGTATGTGTCATATGTTCCTAGCATGAGGGTCAATTATATTTATGGTGATAAAGAAGCCTTTATCTTTCATTTGAACAAAATATGTCTAATAATAGCACTGGGAAGTTTTGGTGTGATAAGTGAAGAGGTTATAAAGCCCTCTGGAGGACCTTCAGATGAGATAGTGTTGAAGGAATGCCAAGTAGTGCTCGGTTGAATCCTCCGTGGCACTCATGCCTGTAATGTTGAGCCAGTGTTAAATCCATAAATCCTCTTGAGGCGCTGTAGAGGTTTCCTCACAGGGGCTCCAGAGAACTGACATATCCAGATGTTGAATTCATAATCCCTAAAAGTAAATGCTGGCCACGTACAATTTCACTTCACAGTTTAATTTCATGCACTTGCACGTATGAGCCCCTGTCCAGCAGTGCATTCATGCGTGATGCTCATTTAGTGGTTGTCATATGCCCCATCCAGTGCCTGACAGTGAGTGTGTTTACACCAGCAGGGGGCCGGATCTAATGGGAGGTCTGCCAGAGCTCCCTGCTGTATTTAGAACTACAGTATCGCACCAGCAGATGTCGACATGGTCACAGTCGGACAGTGAGGTGCTGCACTTTGTATGAAAGCTTTAATTTATCACCATAATTAAACTGAAACCTGAAATTCTAGGTGTTACGTGCCGCAGTTGGTGCTTGTGCGTTTCTCTCTCTCTCCCTGATTGTCCCCAGGTGCAGCCTCTCCCCCAGGTGCTCCCAATCCTCAATCAGGGCCTCCATAAGGGACCTGAGGAAGGCTGCAGTGGCCTCTCTCCTTCTCCTCTGGCTGCATGTGTGCAGCCTGTCTGTGTTTTGGTGAATTGTTAGGAGATGTGCTCCAGTTTACCTTTTTGTGTATTGTTTCATTTAGTCACTTTCTTTAAGAAGAAAGTTGTTCTTAGTTACTTTAAGTTTGTTTTTGCAAATTGGCTGCTGAGCCCGTGTTCTTTCTGTCCATTAAAAGACCTGCTCGTGGCTTCAGAGACCAGTTTCCTCTCTTTTTTCTCGTGCCTGGTCATCTTTGTGTTTTGTTACTTCCCTTTGTACCCCTAGATTTGGAGGGAACTTAACACTAGGCACAAAAAAAAAATGCACCTGCAGATCATTATTAGACCTTGTTTAAAACTGCTTGTATTGCAGAATAGAGAATAGAATAAAATCTCTAATAAAGATAGAGAAGAGAATACATTAGGCTTTCTGCACTAGTCAAATTGAAGATGGTGTCAGATTGTCAATCACAAATTCAATCTACCTTCTAGCAACGTTTCTCTTCATCTAAATAAGATGGAGTTCATCGTGTGGATACAATGTTTTCTTGGCCTAGCTGGTGATTTCATTAAAGGAATGTGGAGTATACAAACACTAACAAACAAAACAATATTTAGTTTGATATTGTGCTTTTCTTGCTGTTAATTCTCTATCTGTTCTACAGCATATGATACTCAAATGGCTTGACAGAGGTTAACTTATGAAGTTAACCTCTGACCACAAAATATGCTCGTGTCTCTCTCACAGTACAAAGAAAGTCAAAGAAAAGGAACAAGGTGCCTCCATCGAAAAAATTACCAGAAATTAGCATTTAGATTACGTTTTTCCCAGCTTTTTAATTTCCTTCCAGGAGGAACATTCCTGTGAAACTGTTAAGTGCTAAAGCAGCTCTCACTTATGATCGGCAGCCATAAAAGAGTCATATCTCTGAGCAAATTGTTCAATCACTTCCTGGGAAATGATTTCCTATGGAAGTGTAATCCGTGCACAATGCCAAGCCTCCGTGAAACAGTGGAGAACCAATCTATGAGAGCACACCTTACAGTTGGAGGGTCTGCACTGGAGATGACTGAGGCTTCAGAGAGACACAACCCAAAAGGTGCATTTCAGTTTCAATAACTGGCAAAGTGTCCTAAAGCAAAACACTAACCTCCTGCCACTGACTGCATACAATACAAATGGTCCGAAGACTTCAATTTGTTTTGCTCTTTTTCTTATTTAAAGTCCATATGCTAACACAATCTTAGTTTAGCATGTAAGCCATTTAACATTTACTAGTAATCACAAACAACATGCTGAGGCTGATGGGAAGTTTTATGGGTTAAGAGTAGTCGTTTCCACCCTACATCTCAGTGGGATTGGTGCTGGACTACAATTACAGCTCTGGATATAGCAGGAATGATCTTTTTTATAGTGTTACTATCTCTCAATTTCTTCTGGTGCATTTCTGCATGAGAAAGACCTGTATGTATCGTATGTGTACTATAATGAAACAACGCTTATACAATTAAATAAGTGTGTGTTTCTTAGGTGCATCGCCTCTTTGTATGTTGCTTGTTTTGGGCTCAATCGTAAACCAACATGTAGGACACATTTCAGGTTAAGACATTTCACTAAAAGCGTAACCAAAGTCAGTCGTATAATTTCAGTGTCTGAAATTCATAGGAATCCATTCAATAATAATTATATTGCAGTCCGTATCAAAGACAAAATTAACAAGACAAACATGTCGCTGATGACCATGACCTAATATTTTATTTATAAGAAAAATGTATGCTAGAGGGGGTAGGACCAGAAAAGTTTTTTTAAGCTTCTTCTTGCCCCTGTTGAACATGACAGACTATTTGAGAATTATTATTATTTTTTTTTTGTATTATTATTTTTTTGTACTCTGTTAGAATTATTATTATTTTGAGTGAGAAAAAAAAGGGAAAAAAAAAGAATATATATATATATATATTATTATTGTTGTATGTTTTGTTTCTGACATGTTCAATAAATGGACAAAAAAAAAGAAAGGTGGAGGACCAACTGACAGACAAACGCCAAACGGCTGAAAACACCTGACTGAGGGAAAAAAGCCCTTGAAAAACAGACAGATTAAAACACCAGTCTCCATCATTTAAACAAGAGAACCTTTATTAAATAATTCATGGTCATTTTCCATGAGGTCTCAGTTTGATTTTCCTCATCTCGAAGAAGAGCGAGTAGACCCTTCCTCTGGTTTAGTGTGCATATCAAGGCTGACCTGCATGGCAGGACAGGGGGAGCTGACGGCCTTCCCCAAAACACATTAATGGATATCAGGACAATTGTCAGTCCACTTTCAATTCAATCATACAAAATGTAACCAAGACCTCCCAAAAGTGTATTTTCTTCTTTTCAATCTACTGATTGGATATCCAACCAAGTGCTGTTTCCAAATAAGCAGGGACATATACTTCTGAATTGAGAAAGTGAAGTGAAAACCGCCCTGGATTTAAGAGTGCTGAAACTACAAACAACAAAAACTCCGAACCTGCTGATCCTCATACAAACTGCTGATTCTTCAATTTGCATTTAAACTGTGAAACTGCAGTTTACAGAAAAACCCACTGAGAGGACATTTCTATTTGTGTTCAATAATATTGCCGGGCTTGAAAGATTCTACAATCTTAGCTCCCCCTGCTCTTCTCCTCGAGGCAAATGAGTTCACTCTTACTGAAGAAAGGTCTCATTGAAAAAGTGCTTTGTATTGTTCACTCAGTAAATCAAGAACTTGGAGCAGTATATTCACTACACGGGATAGATCATTAATGTCAAGCTAAACCATGTGAGACAAAAGGTGGGTAAACACTGCATGTTGCAGAATCCTTTGTACAGTGACAGGGCTTTGCATGTCGCTAACAAAGTCTTCTGGTATCAGCCGACATGGGACAGTAGCAACTTTGGTCGTAAGTGCCCTGGAGAGATAGAGGCTACAATGTCCGGTGCAGAAAAGCACACAAGCATTGAGAGAGCGTCCTGTTTTTGAAACTGAGGGCTGGGCAAGAAACTACAATTAGGAACCGTTTAGTAAGAGCATTCAAACCGATGAATATGTTGTGACTATGTATCCACAGTTCGATATACAGTGAGTAAATAGCTGACATGGTGGAAGCTTAGTTGAAAATGTATCTAGCTGGCACTTTCAGTCAAAAATACAGGACTGTCTCAGAAAATTAGAATATTGTGATAAAGTTCTTTATTTTCTGTAATGCAATTAAAAAAACAAAAATGTCATACATTCTGGATTCATTACAAATCAACTGAAATATTGCAAGCCTTTTATTATTTTAATATTGCTGATTATGGCATACAGCTTAAGAAAACTCAAATATCCTATCTCTAAATATTAGAATATCATGAAAAAGTATACTAGTAGGGTGTTCAACGAATCACTTGAATCGTCTAATTAACTCGAAACACCTGCAAGGGTTTCCTGAGCCTTGAAAAACACTCAGCTTGGTTCAGTAAACTAAATCACAAGTATGGGGAAGACTGCTGATCTGACTGCTGTCCAGAGGACCGTCATTGACACCCTCCATCAGGAGGGTAAGACACAAAAAGAAATTTCTCAAAGAGCAAGCTGTTCACAGAGTGCAGTTTCAAAGCACATCCACAAAAAGTCTGTT